ACATATTCATTTTTTTTTTCAAACTTTATTGATCAAAAACATAAATTTACATTTTTAAGTAGGAATCTCCACTTTTCATTCTTAAAAAAAAAAGAGAGAGAAAATACCAGTTATATACAGGAGATCAAAATAACTTGTTGAATACTATCGATACCAACGTTGGTATTGATATTGAACAATATTCGTTTAACAAGATCGATACTTTTTACTCTTTCCTGCATGCACTAACTGCAGCAGATTCACCAGTCTCCCCGTCTGTGTCACAGCACTTTGCTGTTCCCCCCTCCCCTCTCAGACAACACACAAACAGCCACGCTGCCTGTCCTCAGACGCGGGAGCAGAAAAAGATGAAGAAGAGGGAACGAAGCGCTGTTTGGCTATATGTTAATGCCGTAAATGAAACAATGGCAATCTGTAGGGTTTGTAAAAACCTGGTTAAATGCAGTGGAAACACAACAAGTTTATATAAGAACATGAAAAACCATGAGCAAGACAATGCTGAGTTACAGAAATGGACAGAGGAGATGAAACTTTGCTCATTACTCCGACAGACCCTCGACCCTCAGACAGACGTCACTAACAGAGGCATTTTAGACCCCTGGAGAATATCCAGGTAGTTAAGAGTGAATACCTTCATATTAACTGTCAAAGTAGATATTTTATGTCAAATGTTACTGGAGCCCACTCAGAAAGTGAAATTAAGACCTTGAGAGAACCCAGTATATTTATCCCATTAAAATGTGTTGACTAAGTGGGCTAACATGAACTAATCCTTTATTTATGCCACAATGTGGGAATTTAGAGAATGAATGCAACATGTGCGCAGAATACAAACAAAATTACATAAAGATTGAAAGATAAAAGAGGTGAATTAGGAAAAATACACTATGAACAGAACATTATTTATATTATTATTCAATTGTAACAGTAAAAACTAAAAAATCACGAAATCGCAGAAAGGTTCCATGATAAATCCAGTTTATATGTTAAAAAGTATTGGTATCGTATCGATATCGGCAGTACTGACCCTGTATTTACTTGGCATCATATCGAATAAAAATTCCTGGTATTGCCCACCTCTACTATTTAGTTGCGTGCCAATAAAATCCCATAAAGAAGAACAAGAAGAAAGAATGTCAAAACGTCCTGCCATACCCGTTGGCCACATACGTTCCAGTGCAGCAATGGGCGTGAACGACGTGCTTTTATTCTGAAGGATACGCTCGGAAATCCGTTCAAGAAATGTGGAGCTCCAGAAGCCGATGCCGATAAAGTGACCGTTAGATTGTTTGAGACTTCAGTGCGCCATGGCAGGCCATTTGAAAGATAAAGAAGCTTACCAAAGACTTAACTACCTCTACCAGGTAAGGGGAGTGATTAAAGAAAATGGCGCTAGCCCTAGCATGCTAGCTAGCTGGCTGATGTGTCATAAATGAGACCAGCTTTGGTTTGTGTGTCTCCACAGGCTGCTCATTGTGTCTTAACTCAGAATCCTGAGAATCTGGAGCTGGCTCGGTTCTACTGCTTCACGCAGAAAACTATAGCGAGGCGGCTGGTTCTCAGACAGTAGGTACCACACATACATGGATCTATTTTATTTTGATGTTTTTATGAGCAGGGGGGGGAATGACGTCACATCCGTGTTGTAAAACGTCGATCACAACTGAGCTATTGACAAAATATCGAAAAACAAACCGTGTTCGCAACATTTACTGCATACAATTTCGGTTTGTTTTGTAAAAAGTTACATATTAACCCTCCGGTGCATAGCGGTCACTGTAGTGGACGGCTACTGAACAGTAAATATCTCTTTTATTCTCTGGTGAAACTGCATATTTGCGTCTAGAACGCTCTCTGCTGCCATTTTCCATTGAGGTCAATGAAGTGGTCAGTCATTGTAACTGCAAGTAAATTTCTTCTTAATCTAAGGTGGCCAACAAACAGCACCCCCTGTCGACCACTGCTGGCATATCCTCTCAGTCCTTCTATTGTAAAAGAGCCCAACAGATAAAAAAAAAAATGATACAGCAACATCTAAGGAAAGAAATAATCAGTTTGAAATATAAAATGTTTTGTCTAATATGTTGAAAATTACCAATAACCATGTGTCCAGTGAAGTGGACGTCATGCATCACCCATTACAGTTTTTTCAACATAAGTCAAATAATTGCTTTACTGGTTCTTGTAATGCTTTTGCTTATAATTCAGTGTTTTAACTTTGAAGACATAAGCTATTAATTTAAAATTCACATTTTAGTATATTTTGTGTATACTTTGTGTATATTTTGTGCAGATTAGCTGTAGTTTGTGTGACTATTTTAAATTGAAAAAGCATCCTGGATGGGAAGAGAAACATCCTCAGACTTAGGAAAAAAAGTCCAGGGGTTTGTTTTTTAACCTTTTTGGAATGACTATAGCGATTATTTATATTGTAGACTTAAAACACAGCGAAGAATAAGGGAGCCTACAGGAAGGTGAGGGTGATGAGGGCCAGGCTACAGAGGAAGGTCAGAATGATCAGGAGGCTGTGGATGATGGGCACAGGGCACCTGGCCATATTGAAGACCATAAATGTATCTGGAAAATCCAAGACAATGACTGGTGGAGACTTGACCAAGGCTTTCATAATTCTGGCATCAGAGGGTTAAATTCAAACGCACTGAAATGGGACATAAATTTGTTATAGTAGGTGACTTTTTATTTTTTAATTAGAAATTCATTGATATGTGGGCGAGTTGTAAAACAATACTCAGAGACTAACATTTCTGTTTTGTTTTTCTTTTTTCTTGTTTTTTTTATTACAAAATGTAACTTTAGGTAGAATCTATTCTCCACAATCAATAATAAAATTTTAAGAGAAAAATCTTAATATTTATTCATTATTAATCCCCAAACATGGACTTTATACTACAGAATCTAAACTGGTTCGGATAAAGGTAGATATTTTGCATCCAGGCTGAGCACGGTGGATGAATGAATGGTGCTGGTACGGGCTGCTGATGTCATTACAGCATATTTAATGTTATGCTTTTTAGTGTGGTGCTGTTCAAAGTAAAAGATTTTTCCTTAAACAACATAAATCATGTTTGACAGTTATGTTTTGCAACGGTAAAACCTTGGTATACTAATACCTTCCACTTTAATTCAGGACAGTTCACTTTATTGAAATGTAAATAGAAAAACTATAGTGATCGATAGTTATTTTTAGAGAAATCTTTGGTTTTTCACCACATAGATTCACTTTAAAGAGAACAAGAACCCCTTTAAAATATAGGTTGTTCTAAACAAACTTGGACCTATAAGGAAAATGCTTTGCATACCTGCAGACATAAACCCAGATGGCCGCTCACAGTGATCCTGGTTCTGCTGGAGGTTTCTTCCTGTTCAAAGGGAGTTTTTCCTCTCCACTGTCG